TCTCTTGGATTTCCATAGAAATTAATTGCTTTCCGATTCAGAATTCAATGGCTCGGCTTATCTTTCTTTTCCTTGCCTTTCTCTTTCTGATCACTAATGTTATCATTATTAGCAATTGTAATGGCAACTCTATTCATGCGGTCTGCATTGAGAGCGAGAAAGAAGCCCTTTTGAAGTTCAAGCAAGGTATCGTGGATCGCACCAACCGACTGGCCTCTTGGCATTCTGATGGAGATTGTTGCAAATGGACGGGGATTGTCTGCAACAACGTGACTGGTCATGTCATTGAACTCAACCTTAGAGTACCTCCATTGGATGACTACTATGACGATGAGGCTTATGAGGCTTATGAGAGATCATGGCTGGGTGGTAAGATAAGTCCTTCTCTGCTCCATTTGAAGCATTTGAGTTATTTGGATCTCAGCAACAATGATTTTAAAGGAATTCACATTCCCAAGTTTATTGGTTCTTTGAGGAGTCTAAGATACCTTAACCTCTCCCTTTCAGTATTTGGAGGGAAAGTTCCTCACCATCTTGGTAATCTTTCTTATCTAAAATATCTCGATCTTGGGAACAATGATTTGCATGTTGAGACTCTCCATTGGTTGTCTAGTCTTTCTTCATTGGAGTACCTTGATTTGAGTGGTGTGAACCTTAGCCAAGCCTCCAATTGGTTTCATGCACTAAATACACTTCCTTCCTTGGTAGGGTTACACTTGTCAGGATGTCAACTTTCACATCATCATCTCCATCTCATTGCAAGTGTAAATTTATCATCTCTTGATACCCTGTCTCTTTCTTGGAATTCTTTCCAAAACTTATCAATGATCAATTGGGTTTTTGGTTTCAAGAACCTAATTTCCCTTGATCTATCAGGTAATTATATTGAAGGTCCAATCCCTTATGGTCTTCAAAATTTGACTTCGTTGAAGCTACTTGATCTGTCATACAATTCTTTCAATTCCTCAATACCTAATTGGTTGTATACTTTTGCTCCTCTTGAGTTCCTAAAACTTGGGGGAAATCTCTTGCAAGGTGAAATATCAAGTGACATAGGAAAGATGAACTTTGTTGTTGACCTTGACTTATCCTTTAATAGGTTTGAAGGTCAAATCCCAATTAGGTCGATAGGAAATCTTTGTAGCGTAAGGTCACTCCAACTCTCAAGTGTCAATTTGAGTCTAGCCATATCAAATATCTTAGAAGTCTTTTCTGTGTGTGTTTCTAATAAATTAGAGTCATTGTCCTTGGTTAATTGTTCGCTCTATGGACAATTAACCAACCAACTAGGGAACTTTAGAAACTTAAAAGAGTTGGATTTGTCTAGAAACTCAATCTCTGGTTCAATACCAGAGCTTTCATCCTTAAAATTTTTATTTCTCTCTCAAAACAAATTCAAAGGAAACCTTCTTGAGTCATTTGGTCAACTTTCCAATTTAGAAGTTGTTGATATATCATATAATTTTCTTGAGGGTATTATTTCAGAAATACACTTTTTTAACCTCACAAAATTGTTGAGGTTCCATGCAAATGGAAACCCATTGATTTTGAAGGTCGATCCTAGTTGGAATCCTCCTTTTCAAATTCAAGTCTTAGAATTAGGATCTTGGAATTTAGGACCACAATTTCCACATTGGCTTGCTTCTCAAACAAACATAGAATCCTTAGATATATCTAACTCTGGAATCTCAAGTGTTATCCCTAGTTGGTTTTTTGACTTCTTTCATCGAATGAGTTTTTTGAATCTCTCTTACAATCAAATTCATGGGCAGCTTCTAAGTATTTCTACCTTCAACAATTCATCATCTCAAATCTTCTACGGTTCAAGTTTCTTAGACCTTTCTAATAATCTTTTGTCAGGTTCCCTTTTCAACTTTTTGTGCCTTGGAGTGAATCAAACCATGGATCAAATGTATCTTCTCAATCTTGGCAATAATGTTTTGTCTGGAGAGTTACCAAATTGTTGGTCCAAGTGGCCAAATTTAGGGGTCATTGTATTGGATAACAACAGATTTACAGGTGAAATTCCAAGCACCATGGGAACTTTAAAATGGCTTGAATCATTGCATCTTCACAGTAATAACCTTTCGGGAGAAATTCCTGTGTCCATGAGAAACTGTACAACTTTAAAGACCCTTGATTTTGGTGAAAATGAATTGGTTGGGAATATCCTGTCATGGATGGGTCATAACATTCTAGATCTGACAATCTTGAGGCTACGTTCAAACAAGTTTTCGGGGCATATCCCTAAAGAGTTGTGTGCACTCAGTTTTCTCCAAGTCTTAGACGTTGCCTATAATAGTCTTTCAGGAAGCTTACCAAGTTGCATTAATAACTTAAGTGCCATGGTTTATTTTGTAAATGGCTCATTTGGGAACTACATTGGGTACAGGTCAACATATTTTATGGAGAATGTATTTCTTGTGATAAAAGGCCAATTTTATGAATATGATAGGACTCTTAATTTGGTAAGAGTCCTTGATTTGTCAAATAATAATTTATCAGGAGATATCCCTTGGGAAATAACTAGGCTTCAGGGGTTGCAATCACTGAATTTATCGCACAACCTTTTCACCAGAAGGATCCCTCCAAATATTGGTGACATGAGTTCATTAGAATCTCTTGATCTTTCTGTAAACAAATTGCTTGGGCTGATCCCTGAAAGCATGTCTAGATTGTCATTTCTAAGCTACTTGAACTTGTCTAACAACCAACTGACTGGAAAGATACCTTTAAGTACTCAATTACAAAGCTTTGATGCATCTTGCTATGCTAGAAATGAACTTTGTGGCCTTCCACTAATGAATAATTGCAGCAAAGTCAATCATGTAGTACTTGGCACTGGAAATAATGGAGGGAAAGATATGGATGGAGCTAATGTGAATTGGTTGTTTGTTAGCATGGCACTTGGGTTTATTTTGGGATTTTGGAGTGTATTGAGTCCTCTAGTTATTAGTAGGCAATGGAGGTGTGCATACTATCAATATGTGGATGAGACGTGGTGGAAAGTCAGTGATTATGGAAGTAGATTTTTCTAAAATTTTATGTGTTACAAGTGTATTTCTCTTCATATTCTTGTGATATGTAATAAAACCTCGCCTTTTCACCTTTGTGCAATTTTGTTTGGACTTTTTGTGATCTGCAATGAAGTCGTAAAATAGTTAAATACTATATAAGAAAAATATTTGCGAACACTTTTTTTTAAGTCATCAACTTAAAATTCAATACATACATCAATAAGAACATTATATTAATTGTGATTTAAGTAATTCAATCAAAATTAAAAGAGAATAAAAAAATTATGTCCTTTTTCATTGAAAAATTTATTTAAAGTGTGATATCCTTAAGTGGAAGCTAGCGAATGCTAAAATTTTAAACAAGAAAAAAAATAATAATAGAAAAAAAATTAAGACCAAGAATGGTTGTCATAACACAATTTTAATTAGTTAAAATCTACTTTTAACCTTTTACTTTAGTAAGTTTGTAAATTTTAACACTTCACCTTATATTATACTACTTTTAGTCTTTTACCTTAATAAATTTATAGGTTTTAACCTCTCATCTTATATTATGACACTTTTAGTCACTCACTTATACGAGTTGAAGAAAATAACACTTTGTTAAGGTGAGGTTAAAACGTTTTGTTAGTTCTGCTAACTGACTGTTAATTTTGTTAGCTGCCTGTTAACGCTCCATTAGTATTCCGTTAACGAAACTACAAACTAAATTAAATTTAAATTTCATGTTTTCTATAACAAAATGTTAATAGATGTTAACAGATGCTAACAATCAACTAACAGAGCTAATAGTCAGCTAACAAAGCTAATAGTCAGCTAACAAAACTAATAAAACGTTATAACTTGATATTAATCGAGGGCTATTTTCTTTAATTCGTATATGTGAGAGGCTAAAAGTATCATAATATAAGATAAAAGGCTAAAACTTACAAATTTATTAAGTTGAAGAGTTAAAAGTGTCATAGTATAAGGTGGGGGGCTAAAACCTACAAATTTGTTAAGGTTAAAGATTAAAAGTAGGTTTTTGCCATTCTAATTGAGGCTAAATGATAAAAGTAAAAGTCAATGGATTATTTTTATAAAAGCATAAAACCTAAAGGGCTGAAGGGAAGAATTAGCAAAACGACCTCGTTACACTTATAAGTTGAAATGCCCAAGTATGGTTGCTATCTTTGCTCCGCCACAGCCGGCAGCCCTCTCAAAACAGAAAAAAATCACAAAATTTTCTTGGTTTATCCCTAAATCTACTCAAGTTTTAAAGAAATTTTCGGAGATTGAAAGTCATCATCAAGAATCGTGGAAGAAGAGTCCGAAATTGATTCAAAGTGGGGAGTTCTAAGCACAAAAGATATGAACTTAGACTTGAAAAGGGCTAAATATAGGAAAAACTAAGAAATCCCATTCCAAATAGGATTGGGTTATTATCTTAGGAATTTAGATTGGATATTAGAAGTACATTGATGCAGATAAAATGAAAGATAGATGAGAAAAATAAGGAAAGCCCCAATTAGCTCTCCATAAATTCCTCTACAGAAAATACAAGGGAAATCTAGTAGAAATTGAAAGAAAGATTTCCGTTCCTCAATATAAAAGTCTGAAATCAGAAAATTACAGATAGTCTCTCAAAAGGGTTACAGGGAATAGTGGAGAATGAAGAAGATCAACAGTTTCTGAACAACTCTCAAAATGAAACCCAAAGCTCCTAAATAACCTAACCCTATTAGAAATGACCTCAAACATAACATAAAACGACAATGCTTAATTAATCCTACTTGGCAGCCATATCATCATCTAGGTCCGCATGCCTTATTTACCACATATCACACATTAGGATTGGCTTTTCCCTTTGTCAATAAAAAGGGGCTTTAGCCGGCCAAGGAGGGCAAGGAAAAGAATTGGCGAGTTCGAGAGTAAAAATTGCAGAGGGAGAGATCGAGAGGGAGGCAGAGAGGAGGAATTCGGAAGGAAAAAAAAGAGAGAGGGCGAAAAAAAATAAAAAACCAGAAACAGAAAGGGAAAACAGAGAAGTACAGGACAGAAAAAACGAAAAAAAAAAACAAAAGCAGAGGGAGAGTTGCAGAGGAAAGAAGGGCAGAAGCTTGTACTTAAATTTTCAAGGCAATAAAAGTTTGAATTTTCAGCTTTTCTCCAATATTCTTACAGGTGTGTGGATGCTTTAACTTCTAGTTCTATATACATGTTCTGTTTCGCTATTGTTGAATTGGTCTATTATTGATTTCTGAAATTTCATTAAAAGTCAGGCATTTGAATTTGCTCTATTGTTTCTGTGAGGTGTTGTGATAAAAAAATAACATGAAGGATTCAAGAATTAATATTTAAGCATGAGTTCTGTCCAGGAATTATGATTGCTATAATTTAATGTTGATATATGGGCAACACGTTGGACCAAAAACAAAAAAAAAAAGAAGCAATATACTGTTACAGTAGCTTTGGTTGAGTTTTCTGTTAAATAACTAGTTTATTTTTATATTTTTTTTTTTTCTGTCCTGTTTGATTGTGAATTGTTGGAAACTTTGATAAAGTGTAAAGTGGTGCAATTGGAATTTAATTGGAGAAAATTAATTGGAGGAAATCATGTTTTGGAAGATTGATGAAGATATGAAGCATGTTTCCGAATTTGTTCTTTGTATTAATAGATTCCATTGACATAAATTGGCTAATCAAGAAATTGGTATAATATGAGTCAAATAAATCATATGTCTATATTTTTAGTTAATTAATTTTTTTTTTGTCATTATAAATTAAAAATATCCCAAAATTAAAATATGTGATGACTATATCATATGGAAGTTGTGGGGGTGTTTAACGCATTCCCCAAGTTTAATCGACCCTCTCAATCAATCTTTACATAGACTCTGATAATTTATACCACATTTGGATGGACGACGACAGTCCATTTTAACACGTCAACAATTGTGCTGGTGCCTTTAAGCCTTCCTCCATCTTGCAAATTTCTGTTAATAATGAGCTTTAAGATTCAATTGGTCGATTATTAAGTTGAAGATCGGTGCTTGGTTGATATTTTACATTGTTTTTTAAAAAATATTTATTTATTGGTGAAGGTGTTTGGCTCATTTTAATTTATTAAGATTTGACATGCTTTAATTGTAATTTAAAGAAATAAACACCAAATGATATTAATGCAAACAAAACAACTAATAAAGCAAAATAAAAAGTAAAAAAAGAAAAGACACCAGTTTAATTTTTTATTTTTTATTTTCAAAACAAATCTCCATTCACTGATGAAGAGAAACTACTATTACTATTACTATTACTATTACTATTACTATTACTATTATTATTATTATTATTATTATTATTATATAAAAAGTAATTTTTTTTTTATTTTATTTCATTAATATATTATATGATTCAAATTTATTTTATTTTTAAATAAAAAATTATTATTTAATTATTTAAGAGAAGCTTATATTATTAGAAGTTCTGAACTCGCAAATCACAATGCAGAAGAATCACCTTTAAATATAAAAAAATATAATTACAATTTATAAATTTATATTTATGAAAAGAAATAAAAAGAAAACCAAATAGGTTCATTTTCCTCCATGTGAAGATACCCTAATACTTTTTTAGGCATATTTAGTTAGGGGGTACTTTATTAAAAAAAAATTATTACAAAAATAATTAAAAAAGTAATGCATAAAAAGATAGAAAATATTAGTGTCAATAAAAATAAAAAATATAAGCAGAACCTTCCTCAAGGCTCAAAGCTACAATTGATATTTTCTCAAATTTGGCAAACCATCAAAGAATTTCTAGTAAGTTACGAGAATCATAAAAAATTCATATAATTCACATGTTCAAGTAATTTCAGCCATTTCCTTAAATTCTATTTGCAATAAAAGAAAAATGCTAAACTGATTAAGAAACTAATCAAAGAAATATACCCCATCAGGTTATTCATCTAAGAAAGCATTATAGTTCACCAGTGTCCTCCAAAGTGGATCGAAAGGGACAAGTTTTTGACGACTCCTCTCCTCCGACAAGCTTTGGAGTATGCAGAGATAAGCAACAGATGGCGGGTTTCAGTTGTCTCTTGTGGCCTTTTGAGATATGGGGGCCTTCTTGGCCTTGAGTGAGGACGGACGGCGACGAGAAGAGGACAGATCAGTCAAGATTTTTGCTGAAAAGGGAAGCTAGGGAGCGGCGCCACCAGGGCCCACACCCATCACCTTCTTCGGGGCGGATTAAAAGGAAGGATGAGCAATTCCTGTCTACTGTGAATGAGCAAATCAAAGGTTTGAAGCGAGTGAAGGGCGTTAGTGATGCTGGCGAAGCTACTCTCTTATCGGCGGGTATTGCTACACAGGCCCGCCTATCATCATGAGTCTCTTCTGTTGGAACTGCCGAGGGCTTGGAAACCCTCGTGCAGTTCGATGCCTCATCGAATTGGTGGGGTTAAAGCAACCTGCAGTAGTGTTCTTGTGCGAAACTCTACTGGATCAAAGGGGTATGGAGAAAGTTAGACGAAGATTGGGGTTCAATCATTGTTTTGTAGTGGACAAACTTGGGCGGAGTGGTGGTTTAGCTGTGCTTTGGAAGTCTGACACCAAACTACCACTAGTCTCCTTTTCTCAGAATCACATTGATATGGAAGTGGAAGGCATGGGTGCTGGCTCTTGGCGTTTCACGGGTTACTATGGCCACCCTGAGAGACATAACCGGAGGCGTTCATGGAAACTCTTAAGAGAGTTAGCCACAAAATCCGAGCTACCATGGTTGATCGGGGGAGATTTTAATGATCTTTTACACTCAGATGAGAAAGTAGGAGGTAATCCTTAACCGAAATGGATGCTACATGGCTTTAGGGAGGTGGTTGAGGTATGTAACTTAATTGAAGTACAAATGGTTGGTGGTTATTTCACTTGGCGTCGAGGAAGTGTGGAAGAGAAGTTAGACAGATCCCTGGCCACGCCCAACTGGCGGGCCTTATTTCCCCGAGCAAAGGTCAGACTATTGCCTCCTTTATCTTCTAATCACTCGCCTCTATGGATTACTCTTAATAGTCATTATAAGAGACGAAATAGATGCAGAAGGAGATTCCGGTTTGAAGATATGGAGCTCCGAGATCCTAGGTGTACTGAAATTGTTAAATCTAGTTGGAGCTTTATTGTAAGTGGGGGGAGGTGGAACTCTCTGCTACAGAAAATCAGCCTCTGTTCCATGAATCTTCAAGGTTGGAATGCCTTACATTTCGGCCATGTGCAACAACGTCTTAAGCAATGCATGGAGAGCCTTGAATCTTTGAGAAACAACCCCCCCTCAATACCAACTCAGGATGAGGAGAAGAGGGTGCTTGCAGAAACCGAGGAATGGCTAGAAAGGGAGGAACTTATGTGGCGACAACGTTCAAGAGAAATATGGTTGCAGGAGGGAGATCGAAACACACGTTTTTTCCACAAGAAGGCATCTAAAAGACGTGACAGAAACAGGGTAGAGAAATTGATGAATGCAGAAGGTGAATGGAAGTGTGAATTTGCAAAGTTGCAGACCATAGTGACGAGCTATTTCTCCTCTTTGTTTTCATCCATCTCCCCCAATAATATTGAACAAGTGACTTCTTGTTTGAGCCCTCGGGTAACTGAAGCTGATAATGCTTTCCTGCTCCAAATGTTCACGAAAACAGAGATTAAGAAAGCGCTGCATCACATGCATCCTTTAAAGGCCCTTGGACCTGACGGGCTCTTGCTGGGTTTTTTCCAGCATTTTTGGGATGTGGTGAAGGAAGATGTTGTACAGTCATGTCTAGATTTCTTAAACCATGGATATGAGCTCCGTCCGAGTTGAATTTCACCCATATTGTGCTTATCCCAAAATGTAATGAACCCAGAACTATGGCTGACCTGCGGCCAATTAGCCTTTGTAATGTTATTTTCAGGGTCATAGCAAAGGTCCTTGCCAATCGTTTCAAGCTGGTATTGCAGAAAGTAATTTCCCAAGAACAAAGTGCTTTCCTCCCAAATCGGTTGATTACTGATAATTTTATGTTTGCTTATGAAATTCTCCAATATATGCGAAATAGGAAGGCGAGGAAGTGGGGTTGGCAAGCTATTAAGTTGGATATGAGCAAGGCGTTTGATCGGGTTGAATGGCCATACTTAGAGCAAGTTATGCGTGCTATTGGTTTTGCTAATGGTTGGATCAGGCTAATCTTGAGTTGTGTCTCCTCAGTCAAATATGAAGTTCTATTAAATGGTAGGGAAGCAGGGCGGATCACTCCTACACGGGGCTTGAGGCAGGGTGATCCACTATCACCTTATTTATTTATCTTATGCGCGGAAGGTCTCACAGCCATGATAGTTGAAGCTGTAAACAGGAAAAGCTTGCATAGCATCCAAATATGCCGACGAGCACCTAGAATGTCCCACTTGTTTTTTGCTGATGATAGTTTTCTCTTCCTTCGTGCTACAGAGACTGAGGAAACTTGCAATCTCGAAGAAAGCCGGAGGGTTAGGCTTCCGAGCTATGCGTGAATTCAACTTGTCTATGCTAGGAAAGCAAGGCGGGAGGTTCTTAACATGTCCAGATTCCTTAGCAATGAGATTCATGAAGGCCAAATATTTTCCTCGTATGGATTTTTTACATGCAGAACTTAAATCTCCTTGCAGTTTCACATGGCGAAGCATCTGGTATTCATCTAACTTACAAAAGCAAGGCTGTAGACGATTGATTGGAGATGGTCGAAGTACTGAAATTTGGGGTGACCCATGGCTTCCGGGTAATGAGCAATTCTATGTCCAGTCGCCAAGGCCTGAAGGCTGTACCCTCCGTTTTGTAAATGAACTAATCAATGAAGAGACAACCTCATGGAGGAGGGATTTGGTTCTCGAGACCTTCAATGCACATGAAGCCCAACTGATATTAGCAATGCCGTTGAGTTGGATGCGGAGAGAGGATAGCTGGGTGTGGCACTTCACTAAGCATGGAAATTTCACAGTACATTCAGGGTACCATAGAGCTATTAATATGGCCAGAAGTCATGCTGGGCCATCTGCATCCTCCACAATCTTTGGTGGCAATCGGCTGTGGTCCTTAGAAATCCCACAGAAGGTACGGTTGCTTATCTGGAATGCCTACAAAAATGTTATTCCCACAAAGGACAATCTTCACAAAAAGAGGGTAGAGGTGGACCTGGAGTGTCCGATGTGCGGTGTGGAGAAGGAATCTGTCTTTCACTGCCTTATATCATGCTCCCTTGCCCGTGCAATATGGTTCGGATGCCCTTTGAACCTTCACGTATTTGAACTCCAGGTTGATGATATTGCAACTTTTTTTGATAACACATTATGCATTTTGGGGAAAGAGCAGCTTGAACTTTTTTGCTTGTTGTGTTGTAGCTTATGGAATAGCCGTAATGATGCTCTATGGAACAGACATGGCATTAGTCCGCAGCAAATCATCCAACGAGCCTTGACTTTTATGACAAAATACAAGCAATCTGTATTATCAAGAGGCAGAGGGGCTGCAGTAGTGCAGAAGGCCACTGAAACTAGATGGCATCCACCAGACTTGGGTTTTATAAAGCTAAACGTAGATGAAGCAACATCTGTCTAAAGCGCCAACTTCGGTATGGGTGCGCTGGCACGGAACAATTTGGGGGAGGTGATGGTGGCTATGGCGTGTAAGGGACAAGGAGCAGTGGAACCTGAAGTTGCTGAAGCCTGCAGTCTACGGAGAGCTCTTCACTGGGCTCAATCCCTTGCATTCAGAAGAATTATTGTAGAATCTGATTGCGCAACCATTGTATCAGCAATCACCAGTGAACCTTTCAACATGAACTCCAGTTTAGGACTCATTCTTCTTGATTGCAAAACACTGTTGGCTTCCTTCGAGTCGTGCCGGATACAACACGTACGTCGAGCTGGTAATGCTGCTGCTCACGAGCTTGCACCAAGAGCACTTACTGCTGAGGCTGATGAGTTTTGGGTGGATGACATACCAGTTTCCATTGAGCATATTGTAACAGGAGATCGATCCTTTAACTGAATATGTACTTACGTCTTGATCTTCAAGTCTTAATGAAGCTCGCATATGGCTTTCAAATAAAAAAAAAATACATGAAGATATTAGAAATTAAAATTTAATTTATAACTAAAAATACATATAATTTTATTATTAAATCACATAATTAATATAGCTAAAAAGTTGATATATATAGGCATACGCAAGGGGGCATGGAAAAAGTATGTT